GCTAACAAGAACAGGTCAGTCCTCTTACTTGCTAAAATTCACCTGCTGGACTGCTGATCTGTGTCTCCCAAATTAACAGTGTTCTGCCAGAATCTTTCACATTTCCTGCAGATCATTTAGTTTATTAAAGATCAGGCATCCCCTTTTATATGAGCAGTAACAACAGAGAGAGACTCTTCAGATCACAGCAGGTCATAAGTATTTTAATTAATTTCAATTACAGAAATTGCTTGAAGCTGAGGCATGCAGATTGCTAGTGCAGGTTTTGTCATGAAGAGCATGTCCCAAAAAGCATTGAAAGTCACGTCCCTAACTTACAGACAGCATTGCCATTTTTATCACATTCAGGTATTGCTGTGCTTTTATTTTGGTTTAAGTTGACAGAAGAGATTTTTATTGTCCTCTTCTGCTAATGAGAGTTTTCTAGCAGCAGACAGGTTCAGTGGTGTGAGACCCTAATTGGTCTACCTTTAACACTAGACATAAATTATTTGCACAGATAGTTCTAAAGACAAATGGGCTTGGCATGACATCTGGCAGTCAAACACCTCTATTTTCCCACAGGGCTTTTTGGCCCACGTTACTGTTACCTGAACTTATCAAAAATGAAACCCATCTGAACACTCCATTAGATTTTACCTTACTCAGTGGAGCCAAAGCCATTAAACAGAATAAATGTGCATAGTCATCAATGGGGAAAAAAAATTGCAGTCCCATTTCCAACAGTCTGTAGCCTTTTGATTTTCAAAACAAACAGAATGAACATCTGGAATTCTTACAGTGACTTTTGAAAGAAATAAACAGTCAATGCTCCTTGAAATGGAAAATCTGAGTGGAAGTACAGTTTGGGGTGAGGAAAGCAAGGCAAGAAATCTACATCAAAAGACAAGAAAGGAATCCACAGACTCTTGCAAACATACTCCCTTGTTTGACAATTTAGAGAGGTGTACTAGCACATTTATCTTCATTCTGCTCCCTAGAGATTTTGTTCTGAGGTCCTTCCCTTCCAGGTATTCTTAGAGAAGATCACTGCTGTTTCTGAAGTGATTGAAATCCCACCGCCCCTGTCCAATCTGCCCCAAAACATACTTTTCTAAGTAGAATAGATGCACTGAACTTGTATTTTCTGGCACTTGGCACTTGATGCAAACAGAAACTTTTCATTTTCATGAAAACTGCATCAGTTTTTCCCACAGTATTTTATGAAAAGTGAAAGTTGGCAGACTTTCCTTATGAACATACGGATCTCACTGATAAGGCTATCTCAAGCACTTAGTCTGTGGTATGATACACAGTCTGTGCCACCTCAGGGGCATCCCACCCATGTCTGACAGGCTCTAAGAACTCCTCCACTTAAAACAGCAACTTTGATATCTGCTAATTTTCAAAACCCTTGGTGCATCTCTACAATAATTAATTAACATATCCAACAAACTGACAGCCCTCTGAAGTGCATTTTATCCCTACAAAAAAGACACTGAAGAGCAGGGACCTACTACACCAGGTTAAATAAAACAGCTGCAGGTGCTTCTCCCCACCATTAAAAAAAATAAAAAAAATAAAAAGCTTTTCAAGCGCTTTTCAGCACCTCATCATAGCCCTCAAATCACTCTACAGATAATAGAAAAACAATTCTAAAATTACTAATGGGCCCTAGATAATTCACAGAATAAAAAAATGCTGAAGACTAACTCCTCTTCAAGGCTTCTTTCCTTTAGTGCTGTACTGGGCCATGGGAGAGTGTCTACCTCTGGAGGCAGCCCTGAATTGTAAGGTGGAACCAGGCACCAAGCTCCTCATTCAACACGGCTACCTGAGGTGCTGCAGCTTCTCCCTCTGCACTTGGAGCTGGCTCAGAGCACAGGGAGTGAGCATTTGTCACTACCCTGGTGTCGAGGGCCCTCAGCTGATAAGGGGTGAGACCTCTGGTGGCCACAAGGCACACAGGGACCATTTCCATATTTTAGCTCAAAGGCCTTTAGCACATGCCATTGCAGACTAAATAGCCTCAGCTTTTGAAGCAAAACGAGGTGACACCCACTGGCCCTGAGCACTGATGTTATGAACAGATGAATTAACAGTTACCCCATTAATGAACAGTCAAAAACAAGGACAACTGAGGATGAGACCCCAGGCAGCAAGTCAGAGATACAAGCAGCAGACTGTGAACCACAGAGTGTCTCCTTGGACACCGGTTCTGCAGAAAGACACCGGTGCTGGGCACCCCGGGGGTTTTAAAGTCTCTTAAAGTTGCGGACTGATGCACTTTGGATCCTTTCATTGCTTGCTCCTTTCTCTGGTCACTGGTTGCTCCATTTAGTGGTGCATTCCTGACCAATCATTCTGGAATGCCTCGATTTCACTGCCTGGCTCACTCTCCTGTTACAGGTTGCTGTCCTCACCCCATGAGGCAACATTCTGGAAAGTTCCCGACACTGAACTCACTGGGTCCTCACCGCCCCCCTCTAGTGGGCACACTCTCACACTACAGCACCTTCAACTTCATAACTTATTACTTCAATTAGGCATAACAATTCATTACATTAATTAACAATTCATAACAAAATTGCATTATTAACAATTCATAACCCCACATATGAAAGCCAACTTTATTTGTAACATGGACACCCAGGAAATCACTTCTGGAATGGAGCTAGTACAGCTAACTGCAAAAAAACACTACAGGAAGGAAACAAGGAGTTTTGCTCCAGAGAGCAGAGGCTTCCGCAGGACAGAAGTGGTTCAGCCTCACTGTGTGCAACTCTGAGACACTTTTGTTTCTGTGTGCACAGAAAACACAACTGTCCCTCCTGTAAGCAGCACTACCAAGGTTCCTCTAACTGCAGTCTGAAAAAATCTGTATTTACCAAATACAGCAAAAGCTGAGGTCCTTGCAATTCCATATACATGACTATTTTTACCTCTCCATCAGTGATACCAGGATATACTTCTCAAGAAAATAATAAATTGCCTTATATGCTCTAGAAAGCCCAAAACTAGTGATCTAAATAATTTTATACAGTTTGCTCTGGTAACTGATCAGTCATTTCATTTACCATGGTTCCATTTACAATGGCATTATAGTGACTCTGTATATCACACCAGGCCTGGATGGTATGGTTGGGTGCTACCTTGGGATCCTTGGAAAGAGGTCCCAAAGAGTGTGACAAATAAAAGAGGGATGATCACAATTCAGTGAGACAAAAAGTAAAAATCTTTAATTCCGAAACAACAAACACATGAGCCAAACAACAGTATAGGGCAGACCAAAAAAGTCAGGGTCCAGGGTAGAAAGTAACTCATAAAAGGTAGGTTGAGGGCAGAGTTTGAGTGGAAGGAATCAGTAAGGACAGGGATTCAGAATGTGCAAAATAATGCAGCAAAATTTAACCAGTAACAACCAAGAAACCATAGAACCTTCTAGTTACATTTACATACAACTATTCAGGGGGAAGTGTGGGTAATACTTTGCTCTCTATGACTTAGGGGACTTTTCCCACGGCCTTAAGTCAGAGTTTTCATCAACCCTCAACAACTCTGCATTAATAACTTTGGGAAATCATATATTTTCCTGTACATTATATTTTTTCCAACATTGTGCATGTCAAATAGATTAGCCCTATGAATTCAGTCTTTAGTATTAAAAAATCCCAAATGTAGGTCAGTATTTGCGTAACAGGACAATCTTTCAACCTTGGGCCACAAGTCTGTAAACCACCAGGGTCAATTTCTGACCCTTGGCATGACACACTGCGTTTGGTAACTGATCTGCCCCACCGAGTGGCTTTGGATATACTTCAACTACACAGCTGCCTGCTTTATGTCATTCCAGATGGCCTACAGACTCCTGGAGAATTTCTGCCTGGCAGAATAACCAAACTCCAGGAAAGGATTTGGAATCTCTAATTTGTTGATTTGCTCATAGTGGTGGATTGGCATTTAGGGGGAAAAAAAAAGAGGAACACCCATGGAAGTGATGGCTCTGAGAGAGGCTGCCGGGAGTTCCCTCTCTGCCTGAGACCTGACAGTATTGTTCACCACTGAAAACTGGTATTACCTCTGTGACTACATACCACTTTCTAAACCTAAGCCCGGGAGCTTCTGGCTCTCTTCTGTTTCCGGCCCTGAAAGTTAACAGAGCTCTAGTGCAGCTGCCCCCTCCCCACCTCGCAGCCTGTCGGGAGGGGGCTGAGCCGGACCCCAGCGGCTCCCGGGTGGGGATCTGACACCGGCCAGAGATTTCCCGGGCCAGCTCAGATCGGTTTTCTGTTCCTCTCTGCCTCGGGCCAGGAGGGGCCCGAACCAAGGCTGCTGTTTGAGCCCCAGCTCGGGTTTGGCTTTTCAGCCCTTCTTTGAACACGCGTCTCTGAGGCCAGGCGAAGGAATGAGGGGAGGACTCTTCTGGTTTGCAATTCACAGATTTGTTTTGCAAGGAGAAATCCAGGAGGAATGGCAAAGGATAGGGGGTCTGACCGTGTCCTTTTAAAGGGTTAACGCCTCGGGGGCTTGGGAATTGTGAGAACCAGTTAGAAATTACAGCTGGCGGGCACACAAACTTTCCACAAATAAAATACCGACAGGTAAAGACAAACAGTAACGGAGATAGGAATTCTCTAATCAATTCCCGAGCATTAGGGGCTTTTCCAAGACGGGGTGGAGCCGCGGGGCAGGGATCCACTGGCCGAGCCTGTGCCGCTGGAGCCCAGGGAACTGGGAACACACGGGCCAGAGCGGCAGAGACGCCGCGCCGGGGCCGGAGGAACAAAAAGCGGATCTGCAGCGGATCGCCCGCCGGGGCCCCCACAACAAAGGAGCAGCTCCCCCTCGGCTGTGCGGGCCGGCCGGAGGGAAAATGGACACAGACACAGCACGGGGAGAAACGCGAGCTGCAGCCGGAGCCCGGGGTCCCGTGGGCCAGGGCCCGTGTGAGAGAACCCGCTGAGGGGGAAGGCGGCGGCGCGGGAAGGGGAAGGGGCGGGAATACCCCAGCCACGGCCGAAGGGAAAAAAAACCACACACAAAAGCCTCTGATCCAGCTGGCAAACTAAAGAGCCCATCACAACAGAGCTGGAGTTACAGTGAAACGACTGCAACAAGTGGTAGGCGAGGCAATGAGAGTTCCAGAAAAGGAGGAGACAAAAGGTTTGACCTGGACAAAGGAAGGGAAGTGAGGGGCGGGATGAATGAGCAGATCAGTACAGGGCAGTGGAGGGAAGGAAGGCCAGGGGAAGGCTCCAGACTGGACAGCAAGGCAATGCAAGGTGTGGGGAAACAAGGCAGGGCAAGGGAAGGGACAGGAATGGCAAGGAAATGCAAAGGAGGTGTAGGCCTGGCAAGGCATGGCCCTGGAGAAGAGGAGGAGGCAGGTCAAGAGTGGGGCACGCAGGAGAATGCAAAGCAAAGGAGGTTTAGCAGGGCAAGGCCAGGAAACTCTTGGGTTGCCAAGGCAAGTGACAGGTACATTGAAGGATTGCTGGTACACAAAAGCGGCCAGGACAGACTGCTCTGTGTGGCCTTGATCTTGCATGGGCCTTCTCTAATCTGCACCTAAAACACTTGGGTTACCTGCTTTCCTTGGGATGCAAAAGAGCTGTCATTCTGGTCCTGAAGCCCAAGGGTGAAACGAGAATTTTGTGTCCAAAATTCAAGACAGATGCCAGAAGAAAGCTGCCAGGACAGGTGGGTGTGCTTGCACCTCTGGTCTTCCTGTGACATGCTCCTGAAACACTGGAGGTACCTGTAAGCCTTGAGAGTCCTGGGAGGAGAAGGCAGGGCAAGACAAGTTAAAAAATTCCACAGAAAGAGGGGTATTGAATTCCAGGTGGGGGACGGGTGAGAAAGGTAATGCAAGGCAAGAAAAGTGGTGGCTTTGCCAGGCAAGACCAAGGAGAGGCAGGCAAGGCAATGGGAGACCCAGAAAGAGAAGGAAATGAAAGATTGGAGCTGGGCAAAAGGGAAAGGAAACTGGACAAACTGGAAAGGGGGGTGGGTGAGCAAGTCACTGCAAGGCACTGGATGGGTAGGAAGGGCAAGGGAAGGACACGGATGGGTCAGGAAGGCAGAGGAAGGGAATGGTCAGGAATGACAAGGAAATACAAGGTTGGGTAGGAAAGGCATGGCAATGTAGGGGTAGGCAACACAATGGGTGTCTTAAGAAGAAAAGACCATGCATGGCAAGGCCAAGAGAAATGTGGTAGAGAAGTCAGTGTGGGGGATAGGTGAGTGCTGCTGAGAAAGAAAGTGTCTAACTCCAGTGCAGGTGTGTGTGTGTGTGAAGTGTGCAGGATGTAAAGCAAAGAAAGCTGTCACTTGACTGCAGAGTGAAGGGATGTTTTCAAATGTAAGCAGCAAGGTCCAAGCAACCTTTTTGTCCTGGCACATTTGTGTCTGTGAGATGTCGCCAGAAACTTCTCAGTTTAGATTCAGACTGCAAGCAGGACACGTAACACCCCCAGAATCTAAGCTGAGCAGGAAGGCATGTAGCATCAGCATGTTTGGACAGAAAGAGTTTGTCTGTGGGAGCAGGAGATGGATGTGTTGGCCTCTGGCAGTGTGACACTACGCTCAGCTGAGGAGCATGGTGCAGTGCTTCAGTGCACGCTCTGAAAATGAAAGGCTGCAAGGAAAAGGCAAAGGAGCAGGTAAGCAAAAGCTTTGTGTCCTGGCAGAGTGAGCTGTTTAAAGTGGAACCACTGCTTGGTTTCCCTGAGGATCCTTATTGCTGGACCACTTGGCCAGGGTGGAATGTGCCACAGCACACACACACCATAGATCACCTACACAATTTCTAGACCTTACAAATTAGCATATCTAATGAGGATGCCCCAATGAGAGGCCTGGATGAATGGTGTGATATTCCCCCATGCCTGGAATTCCCCCCTGGATGGGGAATCTCTAATTTACAGGGTATGCTCCGGAGAGGACCTTGGTTTGCCAAGATAGCATAGTGTTTTCCAGCCTCCTACAAGGCCTTTAGTCTTTAGGAGAGAGGCAGGAGTTGTGCAGCCCTCCATCTCCTTTAGGTACCAGTGTAAGGGTGACGTCTTGGCAGACAGCTTCTGAAGAGAGGCAAAGCTTCAGAGGGAGCTCAGAGCTGCAGTCAGCCCTGGCAGATACAGTTCCATAGCCATACTTGGCATTTCCACTAGGTCGAACTTCTGGCTGCTTTCTATGCTGAATAAGGAAGTGTGAGTGAACATTGCCTCATGTTGGCCTTCTCATACTGGGATTATTTGAAATCTCAGACAATGGCAGAACAAGTCAAAATTAGCAAAATACTGTGATAACAATTTTCATTAAGGCACTTTCTTTCTCTTCCTGTCTGAAATTTTTGATACCAGAAAATACCTTTTTTGAAAGTATTTCTCCATAGCAGTCAGAATGGGAAAAACTGTAAATATCAGAGAAATTTAGATTATGTCTGAAATTGAACAACTACCCTCAAAACCTGCTGTTATGGAAAACTTCATGGAAAGCAAGACTCTGATCTTTTGTCATTAACCCCATTTATAAACTGAGTCTCACGCCCTCCCACATTTCCTTATCCAATGTTAACTTGCCTTTTAAAGGGCAGTGAAAAATCTCTTGTCCATTGTTACTAATGACAAATATTAGCTCATCTATTTCTAACATCCCATTTAGTGAGTTTGATTTTTAACATATCCCTTAATATGGAAATACTTTTACTCCTTCTGAATGTTTATCTGGTATTCCTGTGGCAGGGTTTAATCCTGGCATTCATTTTTGTATGCAATTAATCCACTTAATGGGCATTTTTATGAGAGACTGAAGAAACGTTATAGTGAACTACTCACTTCACACAAAGAGATTCACTCCAGTCTTGTCTGGACTAAATGATGCTTTGGGGTCTGACCACATCTTCTGGTCTCACCTAAAAGTTACCGAGTGTGTGTGGCTCAGGGCCACCCAGCAATGCAAACAAAAGCACAGGAAGTAAGATTAACAAAGAGATTCACATCAAAACTTCAGTCCTGAATCGAAAATAAAATGCTAATGGAGGTGGATGTTATGTCCCACTGGCAGTGCAAATGGTCGGTGCTGTACCATTCTTCTGATAACCATTTACAGAGGAACCCTCAGTACCTTTAGATGTCAATAATACCAGTAATTTTTTGTTACATACATGCAGCCTGACCTTTCTCTGTGTTTAAATGCCATTTCAAATTCATTGCTGGCTAGCAGGGTTTTAAATTCTGTTTAGCTTTCTTGTGGCACCTGAAGCTTGTAATGCCACACCATAAATGCACTATGCTATGCTGCCCATTGTCTGTAGTGCTGTTTCTCAGTTTCTTTGCAGTGTTTTTTATCAATAGTCTCTAAGTCATTAGTCAGCTTGGTCAATCTCTATTTTCCACTGGCTTATGAACTGGAAGGGAAAGTAAAATATGCTAAGTTGATGCTAAAATACCATGACATACCTCACTGATTTAGCAGGGAATAAACAAAGAGCAGATCTTGCCTTTTATAGATGCAAGCTTCTCTTTGCCAAAGTTGTATAATCTGCCTTTGCCAAAGTTTAATTACACACAGTGTTTGTGGGCCTTTGGAATCACAATCTCAGTTAATTTTTATTTTAAAAAAAAATTTAAAAATCTGTGTTTAAACATCTCCCCATAAGATTTTTTTCATCACAGGCAGTCTGTCATGAAGGAATCAACTGAAAAGTGACATATTACCTGTGACTAGAGATGCTCTACATCCTTCGAAGAGACAGCACATGTATGTAGATATTTCTGATCTATCATAGCAAATACTTTGCTCCATCAATGCCAAAGACAGGAGGATAAATTCTGATACCCAGGTCTTCCCTGATTATTTAGGGAAGATCAGTGAAATCCCAGTTCTCAAAACTGCCTGAATGCTGCAACAGTCAGAATCCACAGCAGCCAGAAGTAGGATAAGAGGGATCACGGAAGTTCCTTACCCTGTGATCTCAGGACTCTACAAATACAGCAGCTTAATCATGTCAGTATTGCTACTGAGCATCCTAATGACAGGCAATTAGGGAAACTTCACACACCAGGATATTTGGGATATGCTGAATGCCACAAAGCCCTGCTTATTATTATTATAATAGTTCCTCAGAATACTTAAAAAAAAAAAGAGAAAGAAATAACTGATTCAATTCTGTTTTGGCTAAAGATACGCATTCAAGAATAGATTAGTCCTGCTGTACATAGCCACTCAGAATTAAGGGCGTTTTGCCAAACACTTTTCCTTCCTTCTATCACCTCTCTGCTTCAGGTGCAGATAAACAGGCTGTTTTAAACTGAACTTTCCAAGCTTCTCAACTACAACACAGGCATTGACAAAACCTTCACCTTTTTCCAGATTTCCAAGGTCAGGCTGAGAATTTCTGTGCCTACTTGAATTAGTAACTGTTTTTTCAAATGCTTCTTTCCCAGCTCCCCATTTTTTTCATTTGGTGGCTACCACCAGTTATTTAAGAGTGAGGTTTGGCTGTTCAAGAGACAAGTGGCAGGATCTGGCAGACAGCAAGATGATGTAAAGCTTGGAGTGCTTCTTTCTGGCCACTGGAATGAGTTAGAGAATGGAGCTTGAATCAAAATCCACTAATCAAGATCCACTGTTCTACAGCTGCTTTTGCAGCACAGCTGGCAACAGTAAGGTATGTTGGATTGCCATGCAGGATAGAATACAAATGTTATAGGAACTTGTACAGCAAGAGATGGTGGTGTATATTGGATAATTAAGTAGCTCCACGCTCTGTCTGGCTTACAGATGTGAGCAAGGAAAAAAATAGTTTTGCAGTTTATTTGATATTTTTTGCAAGATAACATTGTGTTGTTGAGCTCATGGTTTATATTTACATGCCTTTTCCTGACATCAGACATTCCTGCTTACCCAGGACTACCCACTGACTTCTGACATTGGAAACTCAGACTTAAGTCCTTGCACTATTGGAATTAGTCAGGAATGTGAAACATTTCCCACATCTGAACCAAATGCACTGCTGTTGACTGCATCATTAAATTGTAACCTTGCAATATCAAAGTTGTTGCTAACAACAAAGAAAGAATCCCAACCTGGCAAATGAGAAGGAGCAGGGAAACTGGAAGAAGATGGTGATAAGCATAACTGCTATGAACATGTCAGAGCAGAACAGCTGCTTGGGGGGAAACTGTACCTTTCAATGCATTTCTGAAGGCATTAGCTGTGCTAGGTGAGGGCATCTTACTGAAGTATTTGGCCAGTGCAGGAGGGCCCAAACCTAGAATGTCATGCTGTACCACAAGTTTGCATATTCTTACCTCTGTGGTCCAGAACATACCAACCAAAAATTAAAAAGCAGGGGATCAGGGATGTCCTAGTTTCTTGTTGGTCCCAGGATGTTGTTCCCAGGCTCTGTACATTCCCTAGTGCTGGCAGACTGTACCTCAGCAGAGGAACACTGGCTGTAACATTTCCAGCAGCAGATTGAAGTGCTTGACACTAGTGAGTGCCAGACAAAGTGTGTTACTGAGCTGTGTATGATAAGCCTATCTCCAACAGCAACAACTTCTGTAACTTACCCAGTTCATTCCCATACCAATTGACATTTTAACTGCACACACACTGCCTAAAGGATCTCGGGAATTTGCCAAGGGATTAGTTCAGATAACTCAGCATTATCACTGTCCTACCAGCATTGTGTCTTCTCTCTACAATGATATGCTTAATGGTATTTTCTAGGAAGCAGCAAGCCTCAGCTTGTCACTGCCCTTCAGGTTAAGTTTTTTAAATCTTGGCAAATAGAAGTAGGGACACTCCTGAATAACACTGTACTGCAGTCTGTTCCCTCACACTGACCTGGTAGACACCTGGTGTGCTGCAGAAATGCTTCCAGGGGAGTTGCCTAACTGGGTTGGGATGTCCTCTTTAATCCTGTTTACCTGCAATTATCTATGGTGATAAAAACATGAGTAGAAGTTAGAGATTGCTTTGAATTCCTTCAGAAAATACAGACAAATATTAAACAAAAAGGCAGGTCAACTGTCCAGCACAGTGTAGTGGCTTAGGTTTGCCAATCTGAGTTTCTTGGTCAATGCACCAAATCATGTAGTGGGTTTAGGGTTGGCTAAAATCACCAGTGCACTTACTAGAATTACATACTCATTTTTTGCTGTGAGATATGAATTAGGAGGAGGACAAATCAGGCTCAAAACTTAAAAGGTATAAGGAAAACTTTATTAACAGAACTAAAAGAATAATAAGAATCAGAAGATAACCTTTAGAACACTTTTCCTCCCCTCCTCATCTTTTCTTTCCCACTGACAGTGTAGAGACAAAACCTGGGATTTTCAATCAGTTACCACCTCTACAATAGTCTTTCATCAGTTTTTGTAGGGAGAGGAGTTTTCTCTTGCCATGCCATGGAGACTTCTCAACAATAAACAGTTCTCTTGTGGCTTTTTAATTTCCATGGATAGCAGCAGCCCAGAAAATCTGCAATTGTGAAGTTTCTCCCTTCTTTCACAGCCTTCCCACAGCTGGGTTAATGGGCCATGTCAACTCATGGGGTATTATTTTAAGGATGAGCTGTTCAAAAGCAAAGCTTCTCTTCATCTGTCTCTGTGATCATCCCTAGGAACAGAAGTCTTCTTCTTCTTTCCCTGTGGGCAAAGGGTCTTCATCACTTTCATCTTTCTCTGTTCAAGCTTCTCAAGGGATCACAGATACTTCAACATCTGCTTTGCTTCATTATGGATGCCCCTTTGTCCACAGTTTGAATACTCCATCCCCCCGTGCTTTCTCATGAATTAAAGGTGAATATTTCAGTGTATCATAGTCCATCTCCACAGCCTTCCCAGAATAATTCCAGCTTGATACTGAGGCATCTCCTCATTCTCCTTCCATCTGGGACTTGACTCCTTCTTCACTAACCTTGGTGTCTTTGCTCTGTCCTTTTCTCTCTCAAGAGAGGATCGCCTGTCCAGAACAGTGGTGGCCACTCTGGCTGCATGGCTGGTCTCTGGCCCCTGCGTCCTTCCATTTCAGGCCGATGGCTTCTCCTCCCTGTGCCCGGCACTGGGGCCGCGGTGGAGCGGGGCTGGCCTGACTGGCACCGTTACCTTTTCACAGCTGGAAGCAAGAGAGAGATTTCCTGGCCTTGCCTGCCTTTAAAATGCAAATCTCACAGAGGCCGACCCAGCTTCTAAATGGTTTAATAGGTTGTCAGTTCTCAGAGCCAGCCAGCTACTGGTTTCTGCCAGGCACAGAGGAAGCTCTTAGCAGCTTCTCTCAAAAAAATCATTTCTGTGGGTGGCTTTTTCCCTCCTCACCAAATATCAATTAATGCAAAACCAGCACACACGGTCCATGGGAATTCCTCTTCTCCAGGAAAATTGGTTCATGTCATTCCAAGTTAGATGCATATTTGCATCCCTACAGAGCTCTCTAGGAACTAGAGCAGTGCAAGATCAAAGCACCTTTCAGTTTCTAGTGCATTTAATCTTACCAAATATCTCTGTGAGGTTTACATGCAATTATCTGACTTTACAGATGAGGTTGAGGCTAAAAGACGTGAGTGAGGTCATACAGGAAGTCTGTGGGAGGATGAGGTATGGAACTGGCTGTTGTCATCTCCTGGGTGAAGCACCACGTCCAGTGGGACACCGGAGCTTTGCCTTTATCACTGCAGCAGAGTCTGGAAGAAAAGGAGAGTCCCTGCTGACAGTGAATGCATTCATGTGAACACGTACATGGAAAGAATTAGGGGAATTCTATGTGCAGGTTTACAGCTTTGATCCATCTGTTTATGGTACTGTGATGTGAGCAGAGAAAAGCAAGTCTCCTTTCTAGGTTTCTAGGGAAACCTAGAAAGAATGTAGTTCCTCTCCCTGCCATGGTAGGTTCTGAAACCACCTGGGATGAAAATCTTGGTTCAAGCTGTAGGATATTTATTAATGTAAAATAATAGCTGATGCTTTTTCAATGCCTTTGATTTGTGGGTCACACAGGAGTGGGGTGGAGCTTCCTTTGCTCATTATTCTTCATTGGGAGTGGCTGATTATAAGAGGCCTGTAGGGAGCACAGGGAACAGGAGCAGGCAAACAGGGGCATGGCATGTTTCTGAGGGTGTGACATGACAGTTGGCACAGGAAGGGCTGCAGGTTTTTCTTTCTTGCTGGCAAGGGTTTTTGTCTGTTTTTGAGTTTGTTTGGTTTTGGGGTCTCTGTTAGCAATGGTGATGTGATCTAAAATTGTGGTTAGTACAAGTGTATGTAACCAAATGGAACCCTCTACAAAGGATGTGTCTGTGCAGACCCATTCCTGTGTGGAATGTTTGAGCTTATCAGTGGTGTCAGGTGGTGTTGTGGAGGAAACCTGCCTGTGGTGTGAACAGGAGTGATCTCCTTTCACTGGTGGCCGAGCTGAGAAAGGAAGTTGAAAGGCTAAGGAGTATTAGGGAAAGTGAAAAGGAAATAGATTGCTAGAGTTCAGCTCTTTCATCCTTGAGAGAGGTCACCAAGAGCCACAGGAATGCCGTGCCTCCCCTTGTAGGACAATTGAAGAGCACCTGGTAGATGAAGGGGATTTGGAATGGGTCCCTGCTTGGGGAGATAATTATAAAAACTCCCCCTTACTCCCATCCCCTAGACAGGTACCACTTCAGAGTAGGTATCAATAGGGGTGTTCTGAGGGTTTTATTCTGATTCTCCTTATCCTTTCAGTTCTATTAATAAAGTTTCTTTATACCTTTTAAGTTTTGTTCCATATCTCAAGCAAGAAATGAGGAAGTGCACTGGTGATTTTGGCCAGTGCTGAAACCCACCACCTTATTTGATGCATTGGCTGGGAAACAAAAAAAATCAGCGAATCTAAACCACTACAATTTGTAATGTTGCATTTTTACTGCAAAAAAACCTCCAAATATTCTCACACAACCCTTTTATTTTATTTATTTATTTATTACATAAGGTGGTGCCTTGGAGAGTGCCAGGGTGGTGGCTGGAGGAGGCTGCTTCCTCAGCAGTGCTGCTGAGCCCTTGCCAGAGGCTGTGTCTGTTGGCAGATGTGGAGGAGCCAGTCTATGCAGCCCTGCTTTGGGAAGGGTTTCAGAGCTCTCTGGGGACAATTGCTGGCATCCAAGTTAACGTTGAAGGGTTTTTGGGGTGGTTGTTGCTTCACTGTGGGCACAGCAGGTAAGTTAAATAAGGACAGAGGAGGTGTATTGTGAGGAATTGCAATCCACATGCTGATAATTGAGGAAGTGGTTAGCAACTGCATTTTTGTATACAAAATTGATCTTTGTCTGCCTTATCACAATGACTTGTACCTCACAGAAGAATTGTCCTGACAAGAAGGAATACAAAGATTTGGTGTTAGCTTCTTCCATTTTTAGAATTGGATTTCTCACAGAAATATAGCAGAGAAGTACTCAAACTAATCCTAAATGAGAGACTACACAGCAATAGTCATATGAAAAAAACAGTACTTCTAAGAAAGTGCCTCCCTTCTCCTTAATGTTAATACTGAGACAACTCCCCCATTTTGTTTCCTTTTCCTGTCCAGAGAAGTTGATTCTGAGCCAAACATAGCAAAAAAATTATAGTAGTTCAGTTTGAGAAGGAAAAAAGGGAATAACCTTTGATTCACTGTACTGTCTAGGTCTCATGCCTGTGTGCAATACTGTTCTGATTGAATTTTATTTTTAAAACAGTTCAAATAGAGCTGTCTGCAACAAATTGAGAACTAAATGAAGAGAAAATATCTTGTTGACCATTCCTACAATGCAGTTCAGTGTTTTATACCAGAAGTGATTATACTAAGTGGTTTCTCCCCCAAATCCTGTATCTGTTAAACTCCTGAAGAATGATGCTTCACTAATCCCTAATTTTTAAAGATCCCTAATGTTATAAATGAATTTAGCCAAAATTTATCAATAAGGATTTTATTGAAATATTCATAAAATCAAATTTTGGAACAGCCACAATCAAGGTCAGCGTTGAGCCCGGGGTCAGCGCTGGGTGAACTCAGAACCAGCCTCTGTCGCACTGATTTCCCAAAATTTTGTCTTTTGGAGAGCCAAGTTTTATACAGGTTTTTTTGGCTTGAGGCTGTGCAGCTTCAGTGTCTTTCTGGTGTTGTTACATATTCATATTTCTGCTGCTGGTCTGTTGATGGGTTTTCTGAGAAGTGAAGAGAGTTTGAGTGTTTTTTTGGGAATTGGACATTGAGATGTATGGTCCTGAGGATTTTGACTAGATCAGTATCAGGCATTAATTGCTGGGTCCTTAGTAGGCTCCTCTTGCCTGGGTGGACTCTTATCTTTATTGCTGGGTCGTTCTCTTGCAAATTCCTTGGTTTCCAGCAGCTGCTTTTGCAATCTCAAGTTGTTTGTGTTTTATACATAAAACGTGTTTTTATACTTGACCTTATATGTGTACAATAAAACATGAATTCTACTAACATTTATTACACCTGACAATACAAACCTTTTCCCAAGTTACAGGAAGAGTTCTCCACAGGTATGTGAAATAATTTATTTCCCTATGTCCCCCATATTCCTGATGAGCACTGGTTCTATTTCTTGTGCTCCTGTGGATTTTAGAGGTGTGGGTAGAAGTCTTTCCATGAGATGGGGGAAGGAATGGTACCTTGGGGTAAATGTTGTGCTGCATCTGAATTGTGGCTCTTCCAAGGTATGTGTAAAGAAGGTAGTGTTCACTGCTTGGTCTACCTCACCCAAATGTCTTTGGAGATACAGATAGAGAGGAAACAAAAATAGGTTAAAAGATAATCTAACAAGAAACTAAATTAACATTGAAAGTTATCCCATTTTTTTCAAATTGTTATGATTTTTATTTAAAATAGTTTTAGAGGTTATGTCAAATTAACTCTTTGCCCAAGTTAAACCTTAATTACCGCTCTCTAAAGAGAGAAATTAATTCCATTACCTATATTCAGTAAGAGAAGAAAGAGGAAAATTGCCAAGAGCCATATAGCTCAGTGGTAGAAGAAATTCAGCTCTCAGGCTTGAGGGTTGTAAATCCTCAATGTTAATGGAAGTTTTACACAGTGAAAGAGTGAAAATACAATTTCTACATAGCAGTAGTGACAACAGTATGGGGGAAAGCTTGGCATATTAAAGCACACATGCAAATTCCACCCAGCTCCTTGTTCATTTCCCAACATTTGTTAAATTCTTCCCACTTTCTGTGGTTTATTTAGGAGTCCTTGCAGATGTTTTAGATTTTGTCTAATCACAGGCGCTGCTTATGTTGTTTTTGTAAAAAACAATATGAAATATGTAATTTACTTTTAAGCTCCATTTTCCAAAGCCTCTTGTTCCCCTGTACCTTTTATTCTCATGTTACCCATTATAAAAATGGGCTAACTAGAAGTTATTCCACTAATATTTTCAAGCCTTGACCATTCTGTCTGTTGGTAGACATTTAATCTATCTCTGTAGTACAGTGTGGAATTGTGCTCACTAGTATATTTACAATTTCACACTTTACCTGAAGAAAAGCTGTGTTGCAGTTCAGCATTGCTTTCTTCAGAGGTTGAACTGTAGTTGTGGTTTGGGATCAGGTGGTGGAGGATAAGCAGCAGCTTTTCTAGGCATAGAACCAGCTGACACAAATGGGAGAAATCAGAAACACTTCCTAGGAATAACACTCTCCTGCTTGCCACTGCACATGCCTGCAGCTGGGCAGTGCAAGCAGCATCAGTGGCTGTGAGTGAGCAATGCAGGAGCAGCACTTGTCTCTGCCACCCCTGCTAGGATGTGGCTTGGTGCCCTGCTCCAGCTCAAAGCCTGCCCTTGGCAGGTTCCAGATCACCTTCATGCCAGAGGTGTTAACAGATCAAAGCAGCTGTGAGAGGAGACAAGTTTGGAGCAACACTAACAAAGCTAATCTTGTTTGGTAGGATGAGGTCAACTGTGAGTTGCTGCTGAAAGAAGAATTCTCCAGAAAATCCATTGTAGGATGATGTTTTACTACTTTCTTCATTCCTTCTTCCCTTCAGTCTCTCTGCTCCTCTCAAGCAAAGCCAAGTTAAGATGTCCCAAGCAGCTGTAGGCTGGAAACACCAGGTAAGTTTGACACAGCTTTTCTCTTATGTTCAGTCCACAGGCAAGGAACAAATGGAAAATGAAAAAGTTAAGCTTCACCCAAAATCACTTCCTGAAACAATCACCTTCCCATCAACTCACCTCTCTTTGGTGGGCAAAAAGAGAGTGAGCAGACAAATGTGAGCAGGAAATGCCTTCCAGTCAAACCCTCCCGCTGGTCAAGTGCAAAGAGAAGTGGGTCATTCACACAGGCATACAGGAACTGTCAGCACCAGCAGGCTGAGTGAAGAGCAAGGAGAAAGCTCCAAGCTCACAGTCAAATCATCACCTGAGCAAGTAAGTGGAGAGAGAGTCTGAGATTGCAAGGCACAATGGATTTGAGTTTCCACAGTGACAGCACTTATCATCATATTAATAAATTTCATGTTGTCTGTTGTGGCATTTGCCCAGTAGTTGGGAGGTTTCCTGAAGTCCCAGGATTTATTCCATGGTGAAAAGGTGCAATTCAATTGAAGAACAAAGTCATGGAATTGTCCTTTCTGGTTTGGTACAGAAATCCAGATACTGTTCTGTCCCACAAATGAAAGGAATTCAAAATTCACATACAGAGAATATAGAACACTTGCAAAGGAAGACACAGGACTGTTTTGCATGAAGTTTCAGCCACACCTGCACTCCAGGGTGGAGTTTGCCTGACACAATCTGGAGGCAAGTAGGATCTTGATAGTGACTTTCCTCCATTTAACACAGACCTGTATGTTAAGTAAGGTACCAAGCTTCTAGGTAACTCATGTGGACTCTCTCCCTTAGCTATTTCTCTCCTTGGCTCCTGGAAGCAGCTGGTTTTAAGTGGTATTTATAGAGCAGGGTGTGCTGCTAACTCATCCAAACAGTAGGCCTCCTGCTTGTAGCATGCAGAATTTTCCAGATCTTATGAAATGTTATTCTGGGCACTGGTCTATACCCTTATGAAATTCCTTACTGAGCAGATTATAAGGACAGGCAGTGACCCAATAACCTTCATTTTCCTGGCATGATGCAATAGCTGTTTCATGCTCAGGAAGTCGAGCGGGCTGAGCAGAATGTGAAATGAGCTGCTGAAATTCCCAAGTCAGCATTGTGTTTCCATGCCATTGAGGGTAGAATTTCCAAGTGTAGAATGGTCCTTCAAATTCTGTATTTTATGAGGTCGAGCTAAATGCTTTCCTTTTATATATGAAGAGAGCGATCTTTGCCAGAGTCTGCACTGCATTTGCTCTTATTTTGATTTCTGCTTTGGTTGAGAGCTCTGTGTAGCAGGAAATGCAGTTTTCAACAGCAGTTCAGGCTCTGCTGGAAAGCAGCCCCTGCAAGAAGCAGAGAACTGCAGAAGCATCAAAGCAAGTTATCAGCAGCAGACTCTATCAGTTCTGTCAGTCAAATTTCTCCTTTCTACTCAGTCTCTGCTTTAAGACTATATTTGATTTGGGGCAGTGAAAACCATGAATGAAGTAATAAAAGAATAAAGCTCTGAAGAGTTGGCCAGGCTGTGAGAGAAGTGTAAGGATTTCAACAAACCTGAGTGGTGAAGGGCAGGTTATAAACACCCAGAATTCTTGACAAGAGAAAGCTTTAAGAGCAGTCTACCGTGAGAGGAATGACAGGTTTGTCTTTACAAACAAATTGTGTGTCTGCTGATAGATGAAACTAGCACTGGGAGATAAAAGAAAAAATGGGATGGATTCCACTGGTGAATGGAAAAAAAGATACTTGCCTTTACAAACAAACTGTAGGTTTGCTGATAAATGAAATTGGGTATTGAAAGATGAGAGAGACAATGGGGAAACACCATCAATTTCATAAGAATTAAAAATTAAGAGGGAGGGTTATACATTAGAGGGGAATCTCAGGTATCAGGCATTCTGGGAAATCTGTACCTCTCAAATACCTCAGCCTATGGGGCAAGAGAGAGGGACATGCAGCTGGGGAATTAGGATAAAAAGGAGGCTGCATTCTCCAAAAATCGAGAGACCCCAAGGGAATGCCCCATGGCCTCTCCCTTTATTCAAATAAAGTAAAAGGACTCCTCCGTCTCCTTTTTGGACATGAACCTCTGGTGTTTGTGGTTTAATTTTCCTGACAACAGGAATCTCCAGCAAAGTATTAAAAAGTATATTAAAACTGGTAGACTGGGTGAAAGCACCAGAAAATGTTCTCTACACTTGCAATGCTACACTTGCAATACTTGCAATAGCAGAGAAATGGACTGGATGTACTAACACACTTGTGCATGCATTGGTTTAACTGCAGGGACTGCAGTAATCTGGGAAATTGTTTCGATTCGATCATTCAGGATGATTACCCTGGAACCCTAACACTGGGTTCCCATCACAATGTAAATGCTCTATAAAGGACACAAAGGCCCTGAGGCTAAACCCTTACTGTGACTGTTTCTCATTCTTGATGTCAAAAGCAGGTTGATTTCTCTTAAGGACTAGTCCAGAATTTTCTTCCTGCCTAATCTAATTCAGGACAATACATATCAATTCCTCTTATGCCAACACTATTGTGAATTTAAATAACACCCTATTTCCCAAATCTGCACTCATCTTCTTGCTGTTTTTATACAGAGGAGCCATATCTGGCTCATTCTCTTATGCTTAAACAAAACACTTCTCCCTTTGACTCTCAGAACAGACTCTCATTTCTTTTGATTTCAGGATTTCTGCCCTTTGAGATGCTGTGCTTAGCAGCTCAGGATTTCTGACCATGGAAGTTTCTGTAGGGGGAAAAAAAAGTTGTCAGAACATTGAAAACTACCTAGAATGAGTCCTGCAGGAAGCAGCTCTTTACAGAGCTCCTCAGGGCTTTGGGGAAGCAGTGAGGCTGAAGAGCTGCCAAGTTGTTTTTGAGCTAAGAGATGAGTTTTTCTTTGAAAATCTCAGCGAAGCAATGGGAACACACTGCTGATGGAAGGGGCTGGACAACTGAAATGAAACTGGACAATTACTGCTAACACAATAGAATTTTCCAGGGACCATATAATGTGTAGAAACAAAGCTGCAGCAGGATGCAAAATTTCTCCTTAGGGCTGCAACATAAAGAATAGTCTGTTCTTAGTCCAGAGGAAAACTAAATTAGATTAATACTATCCCAAGCAGTGAACAAAAAAATGCCAGGCATTTTCTGGATGTCTGTGTTATTACAGGGAACAGCCAGGGATGAGTTATTTGTCTTTGAGCTATACAGCTGTTAAAGTTCTAAGAAATTAAGTCATGGCTTTTAACATGCCCCAGTTATTGCATGTATTTCTGTTTGAACTCTAAGATGGCTTGGTCTCTCAGAAATGCACAGATGTCTCAAAAGCCACTATTTACTTTTCTGCAAGATCAAAAGAGACTAAAACAACATATGAGTTCACCTGATTTTAAACATGATTCTGTAATTCATCATAAGTAGTGTCACTGCAAGTTTGACCTACCCTTTCAACACTGCTATTTTTACTGGTAGGGAGCAGCTAGAGATGGTATAATCCTTGTCTGGAAGCAAATATCTGAAACAAGCCTCAAATGGTTTGCTTGCTGTCTCAATTTATGAATTTTTGCAGTTTTGCTAAATAAGTCTATGAACTTGAAGGCAACACAGCATTTACCTGCTAGGAAAATCCAAGTAAAGTTCCCCCAATCTTTATCTTGTTTCCCTTTTGCAATACAATAAAGATGCAGCAATGTCTTTCATGGTCTATTAAAGGATGGAAAGCTGTTCCCTCATGTTTCCACCCTCTGCCTTTGGTCACAGGGATTATTTTTTTTTCTCCAGCACAGGATTTAGACTTGCCTGTGCTGCAGTGTTTGGCCAGCTCCATTTCTAGGACACATTCACACATAGCCAAAGGTGTGCCGGCTTCTCAGTTCCACTGCAATAATGTGACCCACCAGAGAGACTTCTGCAAGGCACAAAGCCACTCCCTAACCTGTGCCTGCCTTACAGACCCAAAAGGAAAATACAGGCAACTTTCTGTTCTGTATCCAGCAGCTCTCCCTCCACTCAGAGCAACCAGGATACCAGGAACCACACAGCATCTTTGGCAGGGAGGAGGAAGGGTATGAAACAACAAAATAAAGAGGAGTACTTGTTGTCTTTATCAGCTGACATTGTGAATCCACTCATGAATCTACACAGGGATCAAACAATTTGAACTCTGTTGCAAGCAAATACTTTTGAAAAATTACTAACTGGAAGGTTCTCTTTTAATGGGTGTTATCCTTAAGGTAGGGAAAAAGATCTGAATAGGCTCTGATCTCTTCTGAAATAGGTACCTGTTTTATTGATCTCTTCTGAAATGGCAGCCTGTTTTATTTTACAAAACATTTAGTCTACAAAATACTCAGCATATTCAGTTTTTCCAGTTCCAGGAGAGCAGCAGAACATCCTTTGAAGATAAATTTTTGCATCTAGCCTATTTTCAAGTAAAAAGACCTTGGACAAGCCAAAATATGAGGGATCTGGTCATATAGTAAGGAGCCACTCCTGTGATTTGGAAGAGATCTGAGATGACTCCTGAACAGTCAAGAAACTAACCAGAATATTTTCTCTGTGGCTTGAATTGCTGAGCTACAGCTTCTGTAAGCATCACAGGCATATCACAGCAGTGGTTTAGTTTGAGAATTACCCTAAATAGCCTTATTATCACCACTAAATGAATGAGTATGGCAACTGGAATGCAAGCCAGACACAATGGAATGACTGATGAAGCTCTTTTTCTGAGGTCATCTTTTTGAACTCTTTATTTTTTTTCCCCACAGTTTTCACATGTGAAATCTCAGAAACACAGAGTCCCAGATCAGAAAAGATCAGCAATATAGATGAGATCAGCAACATGTCATTAAGGTTAGTACTCACTTCCATTCTTCTAAGGCAAAGAGAAACATTCTGAAAGTTACACTCACACAAACATTTAGCTAAAATCACAACTGACTTCAAAAAGCAAAAGTTCAGTCTTAAAAAAATTATGTCTTAAAACAATCATCAGACTGGATCTCAAGAAACTGTGCTAGCCTTTTAGAAATAGAGTGTCATTTTAACTCATTTACCATTAAAAAATGCAAACAAAAGATGAATATTTAGAAGAGAGAAAATACTCATGCTTATATAGCTGAAGGCAAAGAGTAATTGCAGACAGACCAGAATCACTGCAGCTGACCAAAGGCAACTCTGAGTAAACTTCAAAACAGGTTCTGTGGCTAAAAGTGTCACACTAAAGGCTTCAGTGCCTCAGGATTCTCACTGTATTTTCCAGGAAGCTTTGGGAAAGCAGGAGGCTGATTTAAACAAGCTGCAGAGGTTTTGTCCATATTATTAAAGCTGTCACTTCTCTTGTAGAATTAGTCAGAGAAAAAGTGCAGTAAGTCCTAAATGGAAGGGAACTGAGGCTGGTACCTTAAAATAAGTGGTTATAAGATAAGGCAAAGGCAAGGAACTGAGCAAAAATTCTTGCAGATTAAATTAAACTCTGGAAGACAGGATGTTTGTCTAAAGCCTTGGCAGTGAAAGATGGTTGTTCTTGGCTCTAATCACAATCACTGTTTAAGTCCCTCTGCTATACAGTTACCAATAAAGAATGCATTTGATTTCTCTGGAACTGACAGAGTGCAGAAACATTAATGCAAAAAATAATGTATATATTAACTAGATGGGAATATAAGTATTAACCCTTTCCTGAACATGGCTATACTGGTCTACCTAGTTCTATGTAGATCACATGAACTGGACTGGCTGTTGCATTAAGGGCAACCCCCTTTATGGATTTGAACAAACTATCTCTCTTCCTGCAACATAATTTTGCTATCTGTAAAACAGGAGTGACTCTTTTGTAGTGCTCTATAAAGGACAAATAAATGGTTTCTAAGAATAGATTGTTTTTATTAATGCTTGAAATCTACTATGTGATCTTGGAATGGGTATGATGAGAAGGTGGTTCTGGTAGCATTGCATGAAGCCCATGGTCCAAGCATTGTCTCTCTAAGGTCTGAAACACTGCCATTTGGAAATCTCTTAAGCATGGGCTTAATCCCAAATTAAGGCAACTATACTGTAGACAGAATATGAAGGATTTTTTTTTAAACAATGTAAATATGTGCTACAGCATCTGGTGAACTAGGAATAAATACTTTTACTGGTATGGAACCAAGGCTGACAAACTACTATCTGGCAGTACATCCTTTATACACATATGTCATGTACTTCTGGGCAAACTGAAAAATGTACAATACACTGCAAATATTTATAGCACACCCACTGCCCCAGGATCTGATCATTCTTTCCAAGACTTAATCAGGCCAAAAGTTTAGTGACTTATGTTCAATTAAATAACATAACTTAAGACTATGCAGCCTCTTTTCCACAACTTGAACATGCCTATGCAGCCTCTTTTCCACAACTTGAACATGCCTCTGACTGTTAATCCAAAATTAACATTGGATTCAGTATCATGAGCGAATTTTCATCATCAAAAGTTCTGGCCTTTTGAACTTAATGCTCCATGTAATTTTTTAATAAAGAGATGTTTAACTTTACAGAAAAATCTGTTACATTTAACCATGCCAAAAGAAACTTCCTTCACCTGCATAAACCCTCACAGTGGACATTTTAGAATGGTACAAAGTCAGCAGCCCTTATTATCCATTTAAAAAATAAATATACTTGAAGAAAATAAACAGAATGGAAATAAAATCATGTTTGTAAGATAAGCTTTACATCATCCAAATTAGGCAGTATGTGGGTAAACCCCATACCATATGTATTTTTCCTGCCACACTGAACACAAGTGATTTCCACAAGTGGAAACCTGAAGTGTATATATCAATAAAAGATGTTCCAGGAGGAAAGAATCCAATTTTCATAAGAGAAAGGTAAAGGCAAACCAACTTGTAAAGAAAGGTAAGGTCAAAAGGGATCCAAGCATATTTGTGGTTTAGTTTTCAAGTCTTTAGGTAATATTGTGCAAGCAAAAAGGATTCATTTTCCTAGAGCCTCTAATGTAGTACCTGGAATGTTTTGAACACAAATTAGAATTGTGCTACACAGAAAATAATAACAGGCAGAAAACTTGCTAAATTTCTTTTTTCTAGTAGTTTAAAGTATCTATTTTCACAGATATTTTAAAATATTTTAGCCTAAAACATGTTTAGGGCCTCTACAGCTCCCTATCCATTAGTCAGCTAACCATCACTAAAAAGGAGCTTTTCCAGTCTTGTTTCTATTGTGAAGAATGAGTGGAAAAAGCTGTTACATCATCAGAGACATAATATACACATCTGGTGAATCACTTGATGAGCACACAGAATGCCAGAAAGCTCCCACTTTGACATGAGTGTAATTATGCCAGAAACAGCCCCTTTTGGTAACAGCATTAAAGCACTTGTGATGCAGCTGAGCAGTGGCAAGGTTTCTTCCACGGTGCAGAGTTTTCATATGGAAAACTGGAGTACCTACACACACAGAGTTATATTTGACTTGGAAAAAATGCTGAATGAAATGTAAATCAAAAATATAAAAAGCAAAACTTGCCTTCTCCCCCAAAAACCTGAACAACACCAAGTACCCAACACCCTTGAATAACTGGAGTTTGATTTTTCTATTTATTTGTGTGGTTAACATGTACTTTAAGGATATTGAATGGTCACAAAGTATACCTCATACAAAAATACTGACATATCATAAAGTAAGCACTCCTGGTTTTGTTTGTGCAGCAGAATTTGAAATGGAATTCTCATCTGTCACCTGGGAATTTTAAGCTCTTACAGGCAATTTCAGTCTTATTTTGCTTAAGGAGCAAAACAAACCTTTGCATGACCACCAGTGCAACACAAGTCACAAATACCTGCAGGCAGAAAACCCCAAAATTTTCAATAGGCTTATTGCTTTTGAAGACCAAACTAAAATATATTACTTATTTTTTATTTTAATGGTGTGTCAGCATGACTACAAACTTCATTGTGCCTCTCTCAGGGGTAAAACTTTAAAAGGAAGACATTTAAGCAAAAGCTGAAACCCCTAGAAACTCCAGCATAAAATTTTAAAGCTATCTTGAACAGAAGATTCTTCTACTGCAATGAAATGCACTAATTTGAGAAAAAACAGGGTTTTTTACTGCTTTTCTATTTTTAAGATGTTTTTTAAAAGTGGCACTTTTTTATAGCTCAGTAAATGAGGGCAATTTGTAACAGAGTTGTGGCTCACGTGACTAAACAGTTTTTGCATTTGGCATCATAAAGTGACACAGAAACGTGTTGTTCCATTAACATGACCAACCACAATGCATTTAATGTAAGTAACATTAATATGGAAATGCTGGTTTCAGAAATCCTGACAATTATGGGCAGATAACTCTCTTTGTTAACCACGATGCAATCACATAAGGAAGAAAACTTTGACAGTGTAAACTACCTGCCCCTAAACCAAGCCCACTCCCAAACCCAAGAGATTACAAAATATGTAGGGATGATAAATGCCACACTCCTGGGCTGAATACCTTTAGTTTGATAAGGACTGATGAAAAACAAAAAGGCACTCATGATCTGAATATTATGAAATCATGATCTGATATTTAGTTTGAGAAGGTTGCTATATTTATGTACTCCTCCCTTCATTAGGAATCAAGTAATGAACACGCAGGGGAAAGGGACAGATAAAAAAATATGGAATTCAATTACTGTTTCAAAACTTTTCTAACTTTTGAGGCTTCTGATGTATTAAAGTTAGCTAAATGATAAAATATTCAATTTTTTGAATAACTGGGGAAATGACAGACTATTTGTACACAAGGAACTTTGAGGCATTTTGTTTTTAATTTGCATACAATTCTCCGAGTGAATTCCACATGAAGAAGGGTGAGATACAACAGAGCTCATTCATCATTTCACAGGTTAACAGAACAAAGTGAACATCTGTCCTTCTTGTTAATTAGCATCTACCCCTTAACTCCAACTTGTCACTTCCTGCTGCAAGTTCCCATGCCAAAGAAATGGATGGACTAGTTCCAAACTTCACAGATGTTCACACGTGAACTTCAGCGATACTGCAAATTGTAACAGCAAGAAAAAAGTTGAAAGACTTTGGATGACCTTATATTCTCTTTGTGGTTCAATGAAGACCCAAAATTCAGAGTAAAAAAATACTTCAGTTGTCCAGCTCAGCTATTCACCTGACTGTGGTTCCTCTATAGAACACACAGTTAAGGAAAAAATACTTTCTGTCATGTAAGAGGGGGCACTAAATCAGAAACAGAGAAGTCTCAAAATAGCTGTGCTAAAACGAATTTCCCAAACACTTTTCTCTGGAGCACAATTTGAACATGCTCTTACCTTCTACATACTGATAAAGTTTTCTAGCTATATAATTTCCATACATAGTTGCATTTGACAAGGTTTTTTTTGGCTTATATCAAACTGGCAAATACCATCCTGACCAAAGTATATTACATCAGTATTATACCTACAATAAAACAGTGGCATGGTGTTAAAGACAGCATCATCTTCATGCTTTAATGAGATCAAATAACAGTTAAAGGTAGGCTGAAAGGGAAGCAGTAACAAATCTGTCTTGCAGATCTTTCTGAAAAAGAGATCAGGAAGTGAGGCCGTCCAGGTAAGTCTTGAAAGGCGTAAGCTGCAAAGGACTTGAACCTACCAATAGCAGCAGAAAATCCCCATCACTAGAGCAGTCTTTAGGTGTTACAGCAATAAATACCAGTTTAGCCTTTTGTCCAAAGACTTACAGGAAGCCTTCTTCTCAATGTAGGATTCCAGACATTGACACTGTTCAACAGTGAGTTGAACAAAAAATCAAATTGACTGTGTTGAAGTAGAAAATCAAAGAACTCGGAATTGCACATCTCTGATAGTCCAGGGTTTGCATTTGCACACAAGCCTACACACCACAGCACATCTGTCAATGCCAGTGATTCCATTTGGGATATACCAGTTTTTTCCTCTCATGATTGTGGATTCTCCAGCAACTCTACTGAATCTGAAGTATGTCAGTATCAGAGAAGAGATAACAAAAACCTTCTTACACTTCAATATTTATTAATTCTCTAGCAATTTTTTTGCTATATACTTAGTATTTATTTATGTGACAAAATTCCTGATAATTCTGTCTCATGCAGGTAACTTAAATGAAGAGTTAACACTGTCTAAACTGATGAACCTAGCACTAGGGGGTTACTGGGGAGGCTACAAGACAAGTATTTTCTGCAGCAACAACTAGGTGGGTATGCACAGAACACAAGAGGCTCAGCTGAAGGTACCTGGCAGGATCTAAGGACAGCACAGCCTTCAGAAGGACTGGAGGGGCAACATCCTCTGACCTAAACAGACTTACCATTATTGTTTAGGAGAGCTTGAGTGGAGCTGAAGACATGTTGGAAACTAATGTTAGGAGAGATGGTGTTTCTGGAGTTAGGCAAATAGTTTTAGCTTTTTCTACTTAAAGTTGCTGTGATTTGTATTCTCTTGACATAGTAAAATATGTTACTCTACCCAAATTGCTATTGTTTAGGTCACAACAGAGATACTGAGAGCATACTGTACCTTTCTGCAGCTGAAGACAAAGATTGCTGATAGATTGCTGCTATTTCTTCTCTGCAATTCCTTGGTGAATACTTTTTCATCAATAGCAACTATGAAAAAAAACTCTCTAGAGTCCAAATTTTTAAAAAATATATTACAGGAAAAATTGTAAATCTACTTGTAAATCATTCGTTTCTCCTACAATTTCCACAGGTTTCAAAACATAGTAATTATAAATGTAATTATTAAAATAATAACAAGAGTTGTGATAGTCTTTTGTTGTACTGGGCATTTTCCTTTTTTAACTGAGATACATTCTAATGGAAATACCACAGTACGAACCAGATAATTTCAATTAAAAAACAAAATGCAAACTATTCAGTCCAATGTTAGAGCATGTGTATGTGTGTATAATACTGTAAAAGTAGTCACACATTAGAGGTATATAATTGAAACAGCATTTTCTTTCATGAACCTGCTATTATTGAGGCAGTGACAAGGTTTCAATTTCTTTGTTTTTTGAGCTCTTTAAAGAAGGGCTATTGCCACATTTTGTAATCCTAAATACTGTACAAGCAGAAGCTTGTTGGTATCAGGTAAGGAATAATACTAGTAGTGCAAACAGCTGCAGAGACAATTCCTCCAGTTTTGGGGTGAACCAGCTATATAACACTGAAAGAGGATAGGCTTCTTCTTCAAATCCACACTTGTGAGTGTTTCTCCACTCAGCCATACATCCTTCTCCATCTTGGTCTTCTTTTTACAAGGGTACTTGGGGGAGAACCACCAGCTCATGTGATATTTATCATATGAAAGATTCCTCGACCTTTTTCCTACTTAATATTATGTTTTAGAACAAGTCAAGGAACGATAAATACCTCAAGCATCAGGAAAGTGACAATAATACTGACTTAGTATCTTTAGTAAAAAGTGAAACATTCTCTCCTGAGATACAAATCAAGGGAGGAACAGGAATGATGAACCTAACACTGTACCATTATTTGATCATCATGCACCTCAGCTGAGCAGATTGGAAAGAACAAGTGTTTATTGCCCTCTGCTCATCCAAAGCTATGACAGGCAGTTTATTTAGCTAAGTGCTTGGCATACCAGTATGCTGTCAGAGCAGTTCTCAATGTGCTGTCCCCCTTTAGCTTATTTCTTTAAAAGGAAAAAAAAAAAAAAGAGAGGGGAAAAAAAAATAAAACAAAAGAGTAAAAAGGGAGAAAGATCTCAGCAGGTTAACAGTTAACCCTCATCTTCTCTCAGCTCTGTGGGTAGAAACTTGTATTGCTGTTGGCGGATCTGAGCCAGTTTTTTCCTTGCTTCTTCCAGCTCTCTCTCCTTCTTCAGCATTTCTTCTTGGGCTGCAATAATCTAGAAAACAGAAGCAGCAAGGAATACTGTCTGTAAAATAATATTTCTTTCTCTAGGGCACCACAGTCACAGCTGGCTCTTGTGAGCATTCTCCAGAGGAGCACCAAATTTCAATGACTTCATCAGGAATTGCTCAAATTTTTCCAGATGTCAGGACTAGGCCATCAAGAAAAATATTGTATTCCCACTTGTTTCTTAAAGAGGACTAAAACAAGAGAAAAAGTTTAAAAAAACCCCACCATGGTTTCACCATGCTGTGACATTCATCCATGATGAATTTTACAGCTCTGCATTCTCCCAACATGGTGGGGGGTTAGAACATGTAGAATAAAGCACTGTGTCTTTACATAATGTCTGACAGTAAAATTGAACATTCCTTACTGCAGCTATCCACAGTATTTTCCTGCACATCATAATACCAAAGGAAAAATGACAGTAGTGCAGAAATAATCAATCCCAGTATCTTTTAAGTAGTGAGTACAGTATATGATGTACCTCGTTCATTATAAGGAATCTATAAGAACCCTCAGAGCCTTGAAATCTACATTTAAATATTGTTATTATTTCACAATAATTATTATGGTCACAGTTTCTGTTTCTTTGTTTAAATATATGCAAAATCATAAATTTGGGAACATTTAAACTACGTAAGAGAATTCTGAAAAAATTCATTCATTTAAACAGAACAGAACTAAAAGCTATTGGACAATGCTATTAATTATTATTATATTAATATATAAATACACATAATACAAATATATTTTATATTATATACAAGTAAATAATAAGTAAATATATATAAATATATATTATATGTAAATTGTATTCTATTTTGTATTTTTTTAATTTTTTGTACCGACCTGAGCGATGCCACCCACAAACTTGGTTTTGACCACAACATCATCATCCTCTGCTTTTCCAAATGCTGCTTTTTGGGCTGCCCTGACAAGATTGTCTGATGCACGCTTGACAGCATTTCCTGCAGCCTTTGAGAAAGGTAAGAAATTCAGTAATGAATAAAATACATAACTAACATGCATTTGTCTGAACATCAAAACAAACACGTGCTTGACTGCACAGGAAAGGTATGGGGATTTTTTCCCCCCAGTGAAAAGTAAATTAATCTTTGAAAAACAGTGTCACAGAAACAAAATTCCTTTGTGTAAGAAGCTGAAAGCTGGAGAAGTCACAAATGCGATTTTTTTCCCCACAGTTTGAAATAAAGCAGTGGATGAAATTACAAGTTATATTATGCAGATCAGACCTTTTTTTAAAAAAAAAAAAAGAACAGAAACTAGAAGCTAATGTATAAAGATATTATAAAACAATTAAGGTTTTGAATTAATGGGCTTTAATTAGGGCAATTTATCAACCTACACAGCCATGGTTATCTCACATTCAAACTTTCATTTCTTAAAAATTCTCAGATTTCTAAAGAGAAACAGTCAAACATTTGTAACACACCTTTTGTTGTCTGAACTGGATACTGCCAGCAGGCCAAACCAGGCTGCTCCCACACGCTAGAGACACACTAGCACTAGGAAATGAAGCCACAGCTTCCAACCTTCCCCCCTTCCTAGGCAGGACCAGCTCTGAATCTGTCCCCCCACCTTTCCCCAGCCCTAGCCCATATTTCCAGCTGCATCTCACTTTCAAGCCTGAAATGACCCAAGGATAAATGATATGAAATTTGCTCTGCTCAGTCTGGAGCTCATCCAGAAAGAATGGAAACATTTCCAGTTGTTTCATTAAATTTGGAAGATTCTGTAACAGTGCATTCCAAATTCTCATTCATGGGAAATGCAGTTCAAAGTGGGGTATGAAGGAAAAAACCAAGACACTCGAAGTCCTGAATCCAACCTATTGATTAAAACTATATGAAAACATTTTTGCTGGGGGAAAAGCCAGCTGAAAAGTCTCAGTAGTTTTGGCAAGTCCACCAGTAAAAATATTTAGCAGACATCAACTCACTGCTTTTGCAATGATGAAAGACATGATTTCCAAGTGCAAACTGCTCTTTCTCTCATTATTCATTGTGGGACTAAAATGAAGCTTGGTAAAATGGCAAAGTTCAATTTCAGTCCATGCTTGGATTTGTTTCCTTTTCATATTCCCTTCCAATTTCTCACATTCCATGTCTATTTGACAATATTCGCCCATAATGACTGAGAACCCCGAATTTCCTGTCAGAGCTGAGAAAAGTCTCTAGTAGTTGATTTTTTCCTGTTTCTATTATTTGTTCTGCATTTAAAATTCCTTCAGACCCATCTTGGCACCTAGATATTCCAGATCAGATTGCACTATGGACAGCACCACCTTCCAGTTACTGACACCTTCCCCACACCTCCTCAGCAATGTCAGTCTACATGGATCCACTGTAAAGCACTAAAACCATCTCAGCCCTAGAACTGCCCTATGACATGCCACTATTTTCTGTAGAAACAAACAGCTTTTTCACGCATTCATATATTGATTTTTTCCTCCTAAATATTTAAACCATTTTTCTACTCTGTAAAAAAATAATGACATCTGTTCCTCATGTCAAACAGATACTTAGTCGATATGTATTTCTGTTGAATTTGATTCTGCCTATCCATATGTGAGCTGTTGCACTCAGTGTCCATTGGCAGCAGCTTGGGCAAGTACAAGAAAAAGGGAAATTTTCACTGTTCACCAATGGGGGTATAAAAAAGCAGCTGAAATAGTTCTTATGTTCCAGGCTGAGCCTGCAGGGCATGATGTCAGAGAAGGCTGTAATCATTTTAAAAACTACCATCCTCAAACAAAACTTCTAGAGACATTAGCTTTTACCCATCAAAACACAGTGTTAATTCAGCAGCAGTTCATAGAAGCTCAGCATGAAATGGATGTGTAACATGAAAGGGAGGCAGTTTTATGTCAAGAAGCTCACTCAGACTTCAGCTGAGAAGTTGCATGGGATTCTCTTCTTATTTTTGTCTAACAATGAATTATATATATATATATATATCTATAACTGCTGTCTCTTGACTCCTAGAAACAAAGGGTGACTGACCACAGTCCAGGCTAGCACTTTGAGAAATACTTTGTTGAACACATGCATAACCTTGGAGTGCTGAAACAGTGTTTACACAGGACTACCATGGGTTTTCAGTAATTAACAACACAAGTACCTGTAGCCTCCTCATGGCTTCAGAGTCATGGTCAGCCTTCACTTTGCAGGCCACAAGCAACTGTGCTGTAGAAGCTGCAACTTGTTTGGCAGATGAGATGAGTTTCTCCTCACTAGCATGGCCTTGAACTGAGGCATTTGCTGCTTCACAGAGATTGCTGGTTGCAGCTGCCACCATTCGGGCCTAGAAGGCAGTAAAAAAAAAGTCACTGTGTATTCTCACAGGATATTATTTCTTCAGAGAAAGTGCCAGTTTTCTCAATAGAAGTAATTACTCACAGCAGAAATAAGTCCCTGAGACCACTGTCCATCATCAGCTGCATTTGCAGGGATTGCTCCAACCTGAAAAAACAGTTCAGAGATGCCTTACAAGAAAACAGAAAATACAATTGCTTTGTCTCAGAATTAGACAAGCAGTAATCCATGAAAAAAAGGAAACACTTGTACCTGTGACTGTGCCCAGCACATTCAAGACCAGAAAATCCAACTGGAAGTCAGAGCAACTGTGCTTCCAGCAGACATCTGCCTGCTCAGGAAGTGTCCAGCTTACTCTACTGCTTCAACTGACCCATTCTTGGAACACACAGAAGCAATTACCAGAATAACAAACAATTAGCAGACTACTGGTGGCTGAAGGCACAGCCAAAGCAACAGCTGAAGCAGCAGTTCCTTAAATTCCAGTCTTTAAAATAACCTACTTCTCTCTCCATAATACAAATTACTGAGGGCTTTTGTTGTTCTGGTCCAGAGCAGTACTGTACATTGTGACACTTGGGTTTGGACCCCCAAACTGTTGTGTGGGACTTTACATTACTAGCTTGGATCACAGATCTTCATGAAGTGAAAAGCCCCCACAGAAAATCTTCCCACAACTGAATCATCTGAAGAGCCAAGCACTTGATTAAGCTTATGAGGTTTAAATAAACCTAACTAAACGTGGGATTTTTTTAAACAGAACCAGGTCTAGGTCATGAACTGTGATGAGCAGTGAACAACTTATATTTATTTTGATTAGTCATTCCCAAGCTTCTTTCCTACTGTTTTTAACACGACTGTTAGGAGACTAGATTAAATTTTGATGCTTTCCCCCACTACTGCTGCTGCGTGTGCTGTTTACCCACCTTTCCCTGAGCCACCAGTTCCCTCTGGGCTGCTGAAGCTGACTTCACAAGGGCACTGGTAGCAGCTGCAATGGATTTAGCTGCTTCCAGGATCTGTTCTTCAAAATCCAGAGTCTCATCTGCTTGCTATAACCAAGAAAAAACAATGTTATACATTCACCTGGAAGTAATTACACTTTCAAGACTGAGGACATATACAAAGATTCTGGAACACATCAGTGAAGTCTGTAACATCTACAACATCATTTTCTGCAAAGGAGTTTTGTATGGACTGAAGCTGG